ACAGCCTTCTCCCTCATGCCTGATCAAGTCTACTCAGGAGGTCTCAGGGGTTGGTTCGATTGACTGGTTTTACTCAGTTCATTCCAACCCCTTGTTCAGGTATGTGCACTGTTCCCTAGAATTCACCATTTTTCGTTTCTCGCTTCGTTTCAAGTGAATCCCGTTAATTTAAAGTTGGATTTTGTTGTCTTTAGCCTTCTTATGCTATTCAAACCCTTAAACCTTAATTTGTTGCGGTTTTTTTGTCCGAATTTTGCGAACAAAAAATCGAATTTCGTAGCGTAGCGTCGGCAATAACGATCTAATTTGCGCAAGAACCAGGGCAAAACTAAAAATTCCGTACGGTCAATCTTTTTCTACACAGGTGATAGTGATTTCAGCCAATTTTCAGCCAATTTCAGCGTTTTCGCGGCATCAACAAAAAGGTGATTCCCTTAGACTTAACATAAGGGATCAGATCAGTGATCAATATTCAACGAATTTTTCAGATATCTTGACAAAAATGTCTCTGCGTGTCCTGGTGCTGGTCCTCTTGATGGTGGCTGATCCTGACCTTGTTGACGGGAAGTGTTTGGTCCAAGATGGCCGCTTAGAGTGTACGGATGCTTGCTCATCGGACGTTGCTCAAGCGGCGGTGTTCGATGACTCGTTCGTGATGACCGGCGGTGTTTTGGACTTGAGCTGCCTAGATTACTTCAACATCAAGGTGAAGGAACAGAAAGAAACAGTTGAATTTGTTTAATTGAAATCAATCTGTTTTTGTGAATGCAGAGAGTGAAGTTGTTGGAGCCAATCCAGTGTGAAGGTGACATCCCTGTTGGGGTTGTCGATCCTCTTTCTTTCTGCCACTGGGGTCAATGGGATGAAGGCATTCCAGACATTCCGTTGACGGATGGCGAGGTTGTGGTCACGACTACGACAATCCTATCCACGACTTCTCCTCTGCTATCTTCTTCCGTATCTTCGGCAGCGACATCTGCCGTTCCCGTCGTTCCTGTCATCATCTCTACTTCGACTGCGAAAGAACAAGGTATGGGAACTCTGATAGTCACCTGAATATTAAATTTATCAGTGGTATTTTCTGATAGTGACTAAGAAGCCTTCCATACTTTTGGCTGTTTTGAACAATTTCTTGGACATTCCTGAGACGCGTCTTTTTTCTGGGGAAAACACCAACCTGACTTTGACCGTTTCGGATGGAAAGACGACCCTGACTGCGGAATTTCTTTCAAATGGTATCATCGCTTTAATTAGCGGTCTTAGTTTTACCGTTCTGAGTTTGGTTGCTGGTTTGGTGTGGCACTGCTTGCGCAAAAAGGTGAATGACTAATTTGCACCCTTCTTTCTAAGAGAGCACACCCTTTAATTACCTGCATGTTTCTTCTTCTGCTTGACTAACCAGCCCAATGACACTAATGTTGAATCAGGGGTAAAAATAGAAGAAATAGAAATGCAAGATCTGTCTAAACCCAAAACATTTGATGAAATTCACTCTTCCTCTGTCTCTGAAGACTCTACTAGTGGATTTGCAACTATTCGTTCCAGAATTCCTAAATTGACGACTTTCAAACCAAGTACGTTAAATAAAACATCCAGAATTTTTGGGTTGGCATGACTCTTAATTGCATGGCTTGCTGGTGTTTCCTTGTTTGTTTTGCTTTTGCTCAGGCTTGGTTCCAGCCATTGCTGAGGATGCTGGAAGCACTGGGGAGGCTAGTTCAGCATATTTTTGGGTTGGCATGACTCTTAATTGCATGGCTTGCTGGTGTTTCCCTGTTTGTTTCGCTTTTGCTCAGGCTTGGTTCCAGCCATTGCTGAGGATGCTGGAAGCACTGGGGAGGCTAGTTCAGCATTCGGAAGTGCAAGTGCCGGACCTTCTCTCATCACCTGTTCCAGTACCGATGAATCCGCCATTGTCCCCTTCACCACTGCTATCGTTAGATGAAGAGCTGGGCAACACTGAAGACACTCAAGACAATGAAGCGTTAGATGTCAGTGTTGATGACTTTGTTTCTGTCGCGAGTGAATAAGGCTCTTTTTGCTGGAAGCACTGGGGAGGCTAGCTCAGCATTCGGAAGTGCAAGTGCCGGACCTTCTCGCATCGCCCGTTCCAGCGCCGATGAATCCGCCATTGTCCCCTTCACCACTGCTATCGTTGGATGAAGAGCTGGGCAACACTGAAGACACTCAAGACAATGAAGCATTAGATGTCAGTGTTGATGACTTTGTTTCTGTCGCGAGTGAATAAGGCTCTTTTTGTAGTTAGGAATCAGAGAATAAAGAGAGCTTTACACAGAGAGAAAACTATTTCCATTGTTTTCTAATTAGCGCTAAGAGACAGAACACCAGTGGCAGGATTCATTCGGATCCTTGGATAAGTTTTGGGTGCGGGCCGTACAGGCACAGAATTTCCAACGAGTTCCACAGTGGCTGACATATTCAACACTGAAGACACTCAAGACAATGAAGCATTAGATGTCAGTGTTGATGACTTTGTTTCTGTCGCGAGTGAATAAGGCTCTTTTTGTAGTTAGGAATCAGAGAATAAAGAGAGCTTTACACAGAGAAGAAACCATTTCTATTGTTTTCTAATTAGTGCTAAGAGACAAAACACCGGTGGCAGGATTCATTCGGATCCTTGGATATGTTTTGGGTGCGGGCCGTACAGGCACAGAATTTCCAACCAGCTCCACAGTAGCAGATATATCATTCATGTCGATTGCTTCTAGCCTTCGTCTCCTCTGCAGTACATATCTAATCTTTGCAAAACAGAAATAAACAATCGCAATTAGTATCATGGTTATTAATATAATGATCCTTCGTCTCCTTTGCAGTACATATCTAATCTTTGCAAAACAGAAATAAACAATCGCAATTAGTATCATGGTTATTAATATAATGAGAACAATGAGGTAAATATAACCAGGGTCCCTGAAATGTAATTGCAACTCGCTAATGTCTTCTGCGATAGATTTCAGTCCAGGTATGCTGGCAGGGATTTCGTTCACGGCATTTATTTCAATATTCTCCAGAGTGGGAGTTAGTTCCTTAAATGGTCCGTTAATTACAGTATACTGACAATTGGGTTTGAACTGGATAATTCCAGAATAAGGCATCTCATAGGTACTTTTGGTGGCTTGTTAATTTTCTCCAGAACAGTACTGAGTTATTCTTCCTTTGTCCGAGTCTACAAATGCAAATTCATCAGGGTCCAATTGTATAGCCAGATTTTGTGGCCTATCAATTATAAGGGATCGGATCAGTGAACAATATTCAACGAATTTTTCAGATATCTTGACAAAAATGTCTCTGCGTGTCCTGGTGCTGGTCCTCTTGATGGTGGCTGATCCTGACCTTGTTGACGGGAAGTGTTCGGTCCAAGATGGCCGCTTAGAATGTACGGATGCTTGCTCATCGGACGTTGCTCAAGCGGCAGCGTTCGATGACTCGTTTGTGATGACCGGCGGTGTTTTGGACTTGAGCTGCCTCGATTACTTCAACATCAAGGTAAAAGAATAGAAAGAAACAGTTGAATATATTAATTGAAATCAATCTGTTTTTGTGAGTGCAGAGGGTGGAATTGTTGGAGCCAATTCAATGTGAAGGTGACATCCCTATTGGGGTCATCAATCCTCCATCTTTCTGTCGAGGGAGTGAATGGGATGAAAGTATTCCGGATATCCCGTTGACGGATGGTGAGGTTGCTTTCACAACTGCGGCTATCCCCTCCACGACCTCTCTTCCGCTATCTTCTTCCGTATCTTCGGCAGCAACATCTGCCGTTCCTGTCATCATTTCTACTTTGGCTGCGAAAGAACAAGGTATGGGAACTCTGATAGTCAAAATGAGCGTTAAATATACAAAATGTGTCTTTTGGTAGTGACTAAGAAGCCTTCCATACTCTTGGCTGTTCTAAACAATTTCTCGGACATTCCTGAGACGCGTCTTTTTTCGGGGGAAAATACGAACCTGACTTTGACCGTTTCGGATGGGAAAACGACCCTGACTGCGGAATTTCTTTCAAACGGTATCATTGCTTTAATTAGCGGTCTCAGTTTTACCGTTCTGAGTTTGGTCGCTGGTTTGGTGTGGCACTGCTTGCGCAAAAAGGTGAATGACTAATTTGCACCCTTCTTTCTAAGAGAGCACACTCTTAATTGCCTGCATGTTTTCTCTTCTGCTTGACTAACCAGCCCAATGACACTAATATTGAATCAGGAGTAAAAATAGAAGAAATAGAAATGCAAAATCTGTCTAAACCCAAAACATTTGATGAAATTCACTCTTCCTCTGTTTCTGAAGACTCTACTATTGGATTTGCAACTATTCGTTCCAGAATTCCTAAATTGACGACTTTCAAACCAAGTACGTTAATTAAACATCCAGAAATTTTGGGTTGGCATGACTCTTAATTGCATGGCTTGCTGGTGTTTCCTTGTTTGTTTCGCTTTTGCTCAGGCTTGGTTCCAGCCATTGCTGAGGATGCTGGAAGCACTGGGGAGGCTAGCTCAGCATTTGGAAGTGCAAGTGCCGGACCTTCTCGCATCACCTGTTCCAGTGCCGATGAATCCACCATTGTCCCCTTCACAACTGCTATCGTTGGATGAAGAGCTGGGCAACACTGAAGACACTCAAGACAATGAAGCGTTAGATGTCAGTGTTGATGACTTTGTTTCTGTCGCGAGTGAATAAGGCTCTTTTTGTAGTTAGGAATCAGAGAATAAATATTGTCCCCTTCACAACTGCTATCGTTGGATGAAGAGCTGGGCAACACTGAAGACACTCAAGACAATGAAGCGTTAGATGTCAGTGTTGATGACTTTGTTTCTGTTGCGAGTGAATAAGGCTCTTTTGTAGTTAGGAATCAGAGAATAAAAAGAGCTTTACACAGAGAAAACTATTTCTATCGTTTTCTAATTCGTACTAAGAGACAAAACACCAGTGGCAGGATTCATTCGGATCCTTGGGTAAGTTTTTGGTGCGGGGCGTACAGGCACAGAATTTCCTACCAGTTCCACAGTAGCAGACATGTCGTTCATGTCAATTGCTTCCAGCCTTTGTCTTCTTTGCAGTACATATCTAATCTTTGCGAAACAGAAATAAACAATCACAATTAGTATCATAGCTATCAATATAATGAGAACAATGAGGTAAATATAGCCATGGTCCCTGAAATGTAATTGCAATTTGCTAATGTCTTCTGCAATAGATTTCAATCCAGGTATACTGGCAGGGATTTCGTTCACGGCATTTATTTCAATGTTCTCCAGAGTGGGGGTTAGTTCTTTAAATGGTCCATTAATTACAGTATACCGACAATTGGGTTTGAACTGGATAATTCCCGAATAAGGCATTTCATAGGTACTTTCGGTGGCTTGTGAATTTTCTCCTGAACAGTATTGAGTTATTATTCCTTTGTCCAAGTCTACAAAAGCAAATTCATCAGGGTCCAATTGTATAGCCAGATTTTGTGGCCTTTCAATTTCTACTAATGGGCATTTCCCTTTTATTGTGGATTCCAGATCACCATTTTGTATGGCCTTCACACAATTGTTAGCTTCATATACTGGAGGCCTGTGAAATTTGCATATTCGACAGATAGAATGACCGAATTGAGGTAGACACAACGGAAGTTCATTGGCTTGTAAAGCGTATAGTCGCGTACCTTGTGATAACAAATACGGTTCTGTTAAATTTACCTTATGCCATTTTGGTGTTCCCATGTAGGTATCTTCTGCTATAGGAATGCTATGTACCTTGGCTAAATCAAACATATCCAAGTGCCTTATAATCGGAACAACTGTCGTTATACAATAATTACACGTAGCATTTTCTTCACATCCATCCATCACTCCAATCGTTAGTGGATGAGATTTTAACAGAGTCAATAACTCTTGGATAGGTGTTATGTATATTGGGGGCTTGTTTTCAGCCTCAATGATCTTTTTCAACGCAATATCTACATAATCCTCGTAATATAAATTACTGGGATATTGGAAACGGTGTACCCTGTCAATGTCTTGCAGCATTAAATTTACTGTATTGGATGCTTGAGTTAACTCTAATCCCAAACTGAGTAATATGAACCATTGCTCAGTAGTGTTTCTTTGCTCGTAAATTAAATTGTTAGCCAATTTTAAAGCCGTTTTCAGAACCTTGCTCGTTTTTGCATGGAAATTCAAGGACGCTAGTAGTTGTACTTGCTTCTGTTGAATTACAGTACTGGTCACTTTGTCCTTTCTTCGATGTATTACAGGGATCATTCCCATATACAGAGCATCTGTTGGAAAATTAGGGATCATTCCCATATACAGAGCATCTGTTGGAAAGTTTCTTGGTTCTGTTTTCATACGATATTTCAGGCTTTTTATTTGGTCTTCGAATATTTGATATTTGGTTTTCAAGATACTAAAAGTTGCATCCCTCACGATATTTTCCTTTACGTCTTTGTCTTGTTCTGCATACTTAGAAACTTTGTTAATGATTTCTTCAGATTTTTCCACAAACTCTGCAATATCTATTGAAGATTCTAGAGTCCAATAGTTGCTGGGTACACAGACAGGATACATCTCTTCCATTACGACACCAACACTTCCAGGGAAGTTTCTAATTGGGGAGACCTTATCAAATCGATTAAGATTAGATGAAGTCCCTTTGTCGTTTGCGGGGATCTCTTGTATTGTGAGGGAAGACACTATCGGGAATAATATACACATACACAGGATCCAAAAATTTCTATACACTTCCATCTTCATTGGGAGAAGCCTTGGCTCTTTCCATTGCTTCAACTATTCGGGCTTGTTGCCTAGTCAGAGGTCGATGTATAAAAGCTGGTTGCCCTTGCCTACGTGTCCTTGTTGATAATATATTTTCCGGGTTCAGGTGCCAAAGGGAGGGGCGGTCCATGACGTCTTTCTCCCCTTCCTGCTCTGCCGCCTCAGGCGTCTGTTCCGTCTCACTTGGTTGAACATCTGATTCTTCCACTGGATTTTCTTCCTCTATGATGGTTTCATTTAAATCCTTCTTTTTCTTTTTCTTACTCCTAGGAGTGCTTTTTCGTTTTTCCTTGAACTTTTTCCACCTTTCTTTGTTTTTTAATTGCCTGGGAGTTAGAGCTGTGGCCCCTTCTTCTTGTTTGGCTTGTGAGGCGGGTGCATTGGTATTCAAGGCTTCTCTAGCTGGAGTAGAAAGTTTTTCCAATAATTCGGGGGTGCTCCTTCTTCTTGTTTGGCTTGTGAGGCGGGTGCGTTGGTATTCAAGGCTTCTCTAGCTGGAGTAGAAAGTTTTTCCAATAATTCGGGGGTGCTGGATGCAGGTGGCATTCCTTGTTCCAAGACGGTTTCGGATAAACTGGGCAGCGTATCGTTCTCATTATTAAAATACTTCCCAAATTCATCTGTAACTTCAGTCAATATTTCCTTTGTCTTTTGGAATATCCCCGTTTTCTTTTCTGGGGTTTTTACCACAATTGTTTTGTCCAGGTCGGGTACAGACACAAAGGACTCTTCCTCAGAAGTGTCTTCTGATTCATTTTGTTGGCTTCTCTTTCCTTGTTGTTTGAGTATGGTCTTTAAGTGCTGTTGGTTGACAGGATGTTTGTGTATTTTTGAACCAATCGTTTTTTGTCGAATATTAGCCTTTTCTTTAGTGGGTTCTTCTAGATCGCTGACTGTTTCTTCATCCGTTTCCCAATTTCTTGTATCGTCTAGATTAGAAATGAACTTAGGGATATCTTGCTCATCTTCGTCGTTGTCTCCTAATATTTCTATCATCTCTTTTTCTTGAGAGGGTGTTGGTGATGGTACTGGCGAAGCTCTCCTGATTACATAGGGTCTTAAATAACTAACATGTATTACGTCAGTCCAATCAGGGTTATTATCATCCTGTACTCTGATCACCACAGGATTAACAGATTCGATCACAGTATATGGTCCCTTGTATTTGGGCGACCATTTTCTCCCCACGAACGTGGCACTATCATGTCGACGGATCCATACTTTGTCTCCAGGTTGATAAGTCATCCAGGTTGTCTCCAGGTTGATGAGCCTCGTGTTTTGACAAGTTATGAACCCAAGCAGCAAATTTAAGTAACTCATCCCAAGTCTGTCGATTTTTGGGGTCCAGATACAATGCCAGATATTCGTGTAGTTTGCAATGTGCCCTTTCATTTTGTCCATTTCCTTGGGGGCAGTAGGCAGTAGTTGTAGTTGCTTGAGCCCCAATGAATCTAGCCATGTTGCGAAATATGCTACTGAGAAAGTTAGTTCCTCTGTCTGTTAAGATTTTTCTAGGAGGTCCGAATAGGCAAACCCAATCACTCAAAAAGAGTCTGGCAGTCATTGCTGCCGAGGCCTCTTTCATTGGTGAAAATACGATCCATCGGGACAATCTGTCCTGGATTACTAAAATGTATCGGTTTCCTTTGAACTGCTAGGTACCGGACCTACCACGTCGATACTAACTTCTTCAAAACAATTTTTTGGTATCCCAGTAGTCATATAAGGTGTTTTATGCGCGTAGTTCTTATTTTGTTGGCATACTGCGCATGAACGAATAAAATCGGCAACGTCCTTTTCCAATCTTGACCAGGTGAATTCTTGTCGTAAAGCATAAACGGTACGGTCTACTCCGCTGTGTCCCATAGAGGGAGGATCGTGGAAAAGGGCTATCATTTGTTGATGCAGGGGAGGGGGAACCCATATTCGGGGCCCGCCTTTATCCTTTTTAATGACCAATCCTCCTTGCTTGGTATATTCTTCTCCTTCGGGGATCTTTTCTTCCTTTTCCGTTTCCTTCGAAATTAATTCTCTAGATATATACGGTAGTAGATCTGTTCGTTTAAATGCTGGGGACAAATATGCGCATATCTTTTTAGTCTTCTCCGGTGGAAATCGACTGAGCCCATCTGCATGAGGTATGCTAAGACCTCGTTTGTATTCCACAGTATATTTGTATTCATTTAATGCCATAAACCATCCTATTGCCCTCCGACTATCACTGTTCTTTTGCCTTGCCAAATAAGGTATGGCTCTGTGATCCGTCCTTATCTTGAATCGGTGTCCCCACAGATAGGATCGAAATTGGGTCACCCCATAATAGACCGCTAGGAGTTCACGATCCGTATTGGAGTATCTCCTTTCTGCTCCGTTCAAAGTGCGGGAAGCGCATCCAATCAAGACTTCCTTTTTATCTTTCTTTTGGGTCAAAATTGCACCGATTGCATGGCCAGAGGCGTCGGTTGTCAAGATGAATTCCTTGTCAAAGTCAGGAAATGATAAAATTGGAGCTTTCAGCAAGCAATCAGATAAGCACTTCTTGGCATCTTCTTGGTCCTTATCCCCATGGAATTCTTGATACTTTTTCAATAGATGGTATAATGGTCTTGCCTTGTTGGCGAAGTCCTTTATATAGGATCTAAAATATCCCACCAGACCTAGGAAGGCTTGCACTCCCTTGACATTCTTGGGAGTAGGGAAATTGCGTACTGCTTTTGTCTTTACCGGATTTACTTCAATTCCTTCTTGGCTAATTAAAAATCCCATATATTCTATCTCGGTTTTAAACAACTGGCATTTGGAGAATTTTATTTTTAGGCCAGCTGTATCCAATTGCTTGAATATATCTTCTAGATGAGAGACGTGTTGTTTAGCGGTTTTCGAATAAATAACAATATTGTCCACATAAATGTAGGC